CTTGAGAATGTATTTATTATCCATTGAGTTTCCAGACAAAATTTATGCCACTCTGCAATCAAGTGCCTTTGTGGAATCTGAGGCAGGCCCAATATACTGACTTTTCAAGTTTATTCCATGTGTTAGCAGAAAGACTGGGACCACAGCTCATCTATGAAGTATTTTTACATCATTGAAAAGGTTCTTTTCTTTTGAAAATTGTATTGCTTGATGTAAGGATGCCTCTTCTGAATTGCCACTTATCCTCCTTAATGACTGTAGTCAATTTGGCAAAGAGCAGGCACAATGCAAGTTTTATTCTCTGTGTTTAGTAGAAAGCAAATTTTTTTTGGTATTTTAATCATGACAAAGATAATTGATGTTATGGGAGTAAATGTTGCAGCTATTAGTATAATTTTGCTAGAAATGCTGGGTTAAAAATCCAAAGATTTCTGGGGCTTGGCATGTGTGTGCAGTGCTTTCAGGATTCCCTAATAAAGGGAGCTGTTTAATTAAGCCTTTTTAAAATTATAGCTAAATGTGTAGGCATATATTAAGAAGGGAGAAAAGCAGACCCATCTTATGAAACAGAGAATTGGGATCCAGCAAAGAAACCCAGTTAAAAATAATGCTTAAGCAATAAGGAGGGCATTTAAATAAGACATAAAAACAATTCCATGTCCAAAGAAAAATTGTGGAAGACTTGGAACTTTACTTACTGAGCCTAAATGGAAAAGTTGTTTTTTATAGGTTAATTTCGTAGAAGGAAACATGTAGGAACTGTGGTTTGTGCCAGGGCTGAATCCAGCAGCAACCTTTCCTTCCAAACTTGTATTAAAAAAAGGAGAAAGGTGAAAACTTGTCTGTTCTGCCCATCCGGCTGGGATTTCCCCTAGGATGAATGCATCTTTGTAGGGGGGAAACCAAACTCAAGCACTGTCTGCCATGTGTGTGATGCTCTGAGCTAGAAGAGGCTGCTTGCAGTGCTCTGTTGCAGTAGTGGAGAGCCGAGGGATCTGCTGTGCTGGGCTCAGGTGGGGGGAGATGCACAGGAACAGGTTAGTGACAAACTACAAAGTTAGTGACAAAACAACTTGTTGGGAGCAACAAACTAACGTATAAATTGTTGGAATGAGGACAACAGCATCTATTGTTAATTTTCTTATTAAACTGGGCTAAATTCACTCTTTGGGTTACAAACCACTAATGTGGGCGTGGGGGAATGCATTTTCTTTTCATATACTTTGAAAAGTATCTTGAAACTAAGGCATGCTGGAGGAGTTGTGGGGGGTCAGCACCCATGGCCTGGATGTTCTTGCTTGATGTTGCTCAGGGGAGCTGAAGAGCAGCTGGGTGCCACTGGCAGCTGCTGCTCCCACGTTCCAGCAGGGTGGGGTTCTGCTTGTGCTCTCTGTTGGGCTGTGAGTGGTGGAGGATTGTGGCTTGAGAGTCTGTAAAATCTGTAATAGTGGCCAGAGTTTGGAGACAGTTGTTTTAAAAAGAAATATGAAACAGCAAATGCAGTATTGACTGCTGAAGTCATAAAGCAGATGGTGTTATGAGCCGCAGGAGGGTTAAATAGTTGAACAATATCGACTATTACACTCATAAATGATAATTAATACGTCTTTTTTATTACTGACTTAATTTCTGCCACTTGCTTGGACTTTTCTGTTGCTCTCAATGAGTGCTGGCTGTTTTGATTGAGGCCGCAGTTAGCTCAAGAGCCACTGGCACCTGTGGGGCCCAGAAACCTCCTGCAGGAACAGGATGGGAAGGAGCAGCTAAAGGGACAAGGTGTAAAGAACCCAAAATTTCACCTATTGGCAGAAAATCTTGTTTAAAGGAATTTCTTCCCCTTCCCCTTCCAGCCATGTGTCAGAAACCTCTGACAGAAAGGGATAGAAACTTAATGATGGACCCTCCTCCCTCCCTCCAATTACTGCTTGCATTTACAGGGTAGAATTAATGAAGTTAATTACATCTACACAAAATCTCTTGGTTGAGTGAATTACTTAGATCTTTTAAAGTAGAGACATAATTTTCTGCAAGGTTCACAGGCTGTTTTTCAAGCTTGGTTGGTTACTTTGGTTTATAGTCCCCATGATGCATGGCTGCTATCTGAAGCACTCTGGGGTGCACCTTTTAGAGTAATACAAGATGTCAAATTCACTGTAACCACAACTGCAGCATTCAAAACAAAAAATACTGAAATAAATAAAAAGACTGGTTTCTAATAAAGATGAAAAGGAATTAAAATGTAAAACAAAATAACAGGGTGAGGTGCTTAGAGGGTAAAACCATATTGTGTAATGAGAAAAGAAAATGCCTAATATGCAGCTTGTCTGACAGTCTTTTGTTTGCTTTGATGTCATCATTTTCAACATGCAGCATGTTGAAGGACCAAAGGAATTTTCAGGGCTGTGTTTACATGTTAAGGTGGAAACAGAAAGAAAGGACAAAGAATAATCTGGGCAATCAAAACATTTTGAAAAGATACCTTACAGTAAATAGTATTCAAGATTAGGGCTTCAAAGAATGGAGACATCAGGCATACACGATTGTGAAGCTTTAACAGATAATTTTAATTTAAAATTATCTGATATGTGAGGTTGACATTAAAGATAAGCCTGAATTTAGGGCTGGAGGCAGACTTCAGCATCTAATTAATTTTTCACCAAATTGCATGTTGGGGGTTTTCTTAGGGAAATTTTTGTGCAGATTTAATTTAAAACTTTCTTGATTTGTATATATTTTGGTTTAGGGATCTTAAAAATTAGAAATCAAATAGGAGTTTTTAATATAGCATCACTCATTTTATGTCCTATGGTGATTTAAACTTAAATTTCTGTTTCTCATTTACATCTATGTCCTGGGCTTGCCCCTGGGTTGCACTTTAAGTGGGGCCCCATGAGCAGCACCTTCCATGCTTCCTTGCTGTTCTTGTGTCTCTTGAAAGGCAGAATGCAACGTGTTCTGTGAAATGTAGTTCAAAAAGAGCCTACTTTACATGGAAAATAAGGTGGTGTGTACTGTACTAGAGCTTTCCTGAAAAATTTTCAATAGCATTTCCTGATGGAAAACTTAAGGTGTTTCAAATAAAAGATTTGTACTTCAATTTTCCATCAATAAAATTCCAATCCTTACTGCATACAAATTTTCATTATGCACAAAAGCAGTGCTAACAAAGATTAATTTTGAAGAAGGAAAAAGCATCATGTATGCAATCCAGATATACATAATTGACCCCAGCACAGGCAGTATGGTAATGTGGAGTTAAATGTCACATGAAGACCTGTGGTGGCCCAGCAAACATAGGAACATGGAGGTTTTCAACAGCCATATTAGATGGGCATTTATTTAGGGCTCTCTGAAAACACTTGAAAAACCAGTTTAACAGCAACGTTCGCTGGCTGAGCACAGAGTCAAGCAACTAAGTTGGGGGAGTCATTGTGAAATCCTACCAGGAAAGAAATATTTTTGACTGATGATACTTCTCCACGGCGTTCAGGATGTGAGGTGCCCTTCCGAGCCACATCACCACAGCTGGCATTCCTTGTGTTAATGACTGAGCCTTACCAAAGGAAGTCTCACTTCCATTTCAGCAAACCTGTAACTTAACTTACTAACTTACTCTCATTTGGGTTGTTTTGGAATACACTGGTTGATAGAGAAACTTGTCTTCGGTTTGGTTTGTGCAGTGTCCAGCACCAGGAGTTGCATACCCATGAGTGAGGTTCACTAAGAGCTCTCACAATATGAGCAAAATTATGTCTCACCCAGTAAAATCACATTTTACTAAAATACATGGAGACAAAATTATTTAATGCAACTTTTGCTTGAATTGTACTGATTACAGGAGTCACTATCAGATGGAGCACTCCTCTGAAAATAGGCAGCTTGAGAAAAAATCAAAATAATTTGTTTGATAGGTGACTTATCATAGGACAGGTTTTTTTACCATCTGTATTTTGGTTAATTACTAGTTTTACCTAAATGTTAGCAGTATTACACATTTGTCATCATCAATAATTTTTATTATATTCTACTAAGACTATGGAAGCCTTTTATTTTCTGTTTGTTGCTGTGAAGTTGTTTCAAAATTTAAAACTTCACAGATGTGGACTCTCTCTGTGGTTTCTAATTTGTGAGTATTTATGATTTTGGTGTTTTGCAAGATTCTGGATTTTAGCCCCTCAGCTGTCATTGTTCTCTGCTGCTGATGGAAGCACCTTTACAGCAGCAAACAAACTGCTGGCAAAAGGAATTGCAGCATGAAGATAAGGTTGTTTCTAATCTAAGCACTTCTCAGTTGAAAATCACATGAGGAAAAGACATATTCAAGGAATCATTCAATTGTGGCTTTTTTCTAATGTACAATATTTACAACCTCTGACAATTGGAGCTGAGAGCAGCAAAAATCTGCCCTAATTGCAAGGACTGCAAAAAATACTTGTATCTTTTTTCCCCTGAATAAATGGTTGTTTCTTTGGGATGAAATGCATATCTGCATTAAGAAGGAAAACAATAACAGTGCTGTGTCTGTGCTTATTAAGTGGTTGGAGAAGAATGAACAAGTCCAGATTTTTCTTTGCGTCTGCTTAGATTTCAGATAACACAGTTGAGCGTGTTCCCTGATGCCTCTCATCCTGAAGGGAATATTGTACATTTTGATTGTACTTTTATTACCACTTTTCACTTTCAAGAATGTCTGTAAAGATTTTGGATACTCTCCTGTGTGTTACTATGCCAAGAGTAAGCCTTTGTAATTTTGGAGTATAAGTGTAGAAATAACTCAGGATTTCATAATGTGTCTGGAATTTATATCAGCACCAAAGTGCTTACGATATGAAAGATATCATTATTACGATATGAATATGTGTTATTTCTGTGTTATTTCATATGTTATGTGTTATTTCTGTGAGACTGCATGTAAATACATAGGTATATATATTTAAGCAATGTTTCTTTTGCAACATTACTGATTTAACTTACAAAATACTATTGTTTTTTCATCTTAGGTCTGAGGGTAACAGTGTTACTAACATCATCCCTCATGGTGTTGGGAGCTGGCCTGAGATGTGTTCCAGTTTCAGACATAGAAATTAGGAAGAAGTAAGTGTTTTAATTATTTTAATATACATATTTTATTCTTTCTGCTAATATAATTTTTGCTGCTACTACAAAGAAATGTTAGTACAAATTTTCTGTATGAAGTTGATGTACCAAATGTTTGTTGTGTGGCCATGGGTTTACATGCTTCTTTGCTTCTTAAATGGATTTTTCTAGTCCTTCTTCTCCATAATATCTGAAGATCAGAAAGCCCTTTACAACCTCGAGTTAATTTAATCTCACCCCATCCTGCATAATTAATATTAATCTGCTTTGCAAATAAGGAACGGGAGATTTAGTAAGATTCAGAAACTGGCCCAAGATCACACAAGGAGCCATGCCTCAAGACCCCAAAATAAGTAATTTGCATGCAAATGTTAAATAATTGGTTCATTTTCTCATATTGAATGTATGGGATCATGCCATGAGACAGATGAATTTCTGCAAAAATGGCTTTTTTCATGTAGTCTCTTCCAGTCCATGTTCCAAAGAGGCCTTGTACTTTTTCCGCAGTTAAATGATTGTCTGCTGTACACATGCACTTTATGAATTTGTGATAGAAACAGAATTCTTCCTAAAAATCCCACAAACCAAACAGTATAATTGTTCCATCAATATATCCTGAATCTGGGAATCCTGATTAAGTACAGGAGTAGTGCTTGTTTTGTACAGCCTGGGAATATGGATCACTTGTTCACTTAAATTTCTTTTGCCTCTTAGTGTGAAGGAGGTGGGAGTATGCAGACATTACTACTCTTTCCTGCTACTTTAAGAAAGCAGTAGCACTGGTTCTTTGCTAGTTATGCTTGCATAATATGTAAACACTAAGAAAAGATCTTACAAATAAAATATTTTATGTGGGTTGGGTTTTTCCCCCTTGAATTCCAATCAGCTTGAATTCTACCACGCAGTGCTGGTACTACTTCAGCAAGTTGTTTGGGATTTTTTTTTTTTTCCCTTAGTATTGCTTAACCTGAAAATCAGCTTGAGAACCTTTTAAGCTGAAAAAGAAAATGTTTGGTGTGATGTTAAAAGCCAATGACTGGGTACTGTGGATAAAACAAAGAAATAGGTTCAGAGGGAGAAATGAGAAGGTAAAAAACACATGAATTTTAAAACAAACCGTGATAAGTCAACTAAGAGCAGTGTGTCAGGTAGGGGGGTTGCAATTTCAGTTCTTAGGTGCTTAGTGAGCATACAAGGAAACACAGTCGAGGTGCTCCTGATGTTGGTTGTCCAGTGTTGCCCATTTTGGCAGTTCAAGGACTCTGTGAACACAGTAGACTGAACTAACTGTGTTGTGCTACCCTTCAGAGTGACCCTTCTGAGGAAAATGCACTGCTTGGGTGGCCAGAAAGAGTTGTCCTCATTTTACCCTTAGTTCATATTTTCTTAAAATGTCAAGGGGTGCTTGACATGCAGTTTGTTCATTCTCATCAGTCTTGGGTTAAATCTCAATAGCTTTGAAATGGGAGAGATGGCTTAAATGCAATGAAATGTGGTGTTTCATGTAGCTTTTCATTTATGATATATACCAGAAGACGTGCAGCCCTAGGCTTTACCAAAACAAGGATGAAGACTGTAAATACCTGAGAGTATGAAAATTCCCAAGTGAGATTTAGATGTAAGGCATCCTTGGGGAGTGGGAAAGACAGTTTCCACAAATTCTTATCATCTTTGAACAAAAGTTTTCCAGTGTAGCAGAAAGCAGGCCTATGAAAACAATGAAATACATAACTTAGGAGAAGCATGCAAGGAACAAAGAAAGGCTTTGGACTCTATAGAGTCAGATGAGTGAGATGTATAAAACATGATGTTAAAATTTATTGAAAACTATATAGAGAATAAAGAAGAGAGTATGAGCAGAATACTGATGGAAAAGGTTAATTTCACATATTCATGCTGTGAAAATATGTCATCTTCAGCTGAAAATGACAAATTTGCCTACTTGTCCTACTCCCAAAAAAGAAGTTTTCAAGAATTGTAGCTCTACATGAGGAAGTAGCTCGATCTTTTACACAGTTTGATTAAAAAATCTACCAAGAATTAATTATGGCCAACTCTGTGAAGCAAAATAATGGTTTTCAGTAAAGTTTCTTGAGACTTTGTAAATAATTGTACAGACCGTGTGATGTTATACCGCATAACTTGCCGTGTTTTGTGGGTTAAGGCTTAAGGCCAGTTTTCATCCATTATTTGAAGTGTGATACCAAATACAATAATATTTTTTAGATGAGCATTATTGCTTAATGCATTAGCCACAACTGGCTGAGCACCAAATTATGCACTTATTCTAGATGTGTATATGCGTTAATACAACAATTTGAATGTTACAGAGCCTGTCAGAGGGACAGGATCACATGCAAGCTAATTGGAAGCATTTTAGAAGCCAGTGTAACTGGAATTTCTTTAAATGCTTTAGTGTGTTCCTTCAGTCTGTGAGTATTCTGTGGGAATATGCAGAAGATTTCCATGAGACAATTCTGTCAGAGTTAATATACATAAAAGTAGAAGAATGTTCATGAGGTTTATAAGGCTTAGAGTGGGGGTTTTGTACTTTGTAGCAGTCTCTGCTCCCTAAGCTCTTGTGATTAACATTAAGGAGAGCTACTAAAGTCCACCACCTATCAGAGCAGTCAGAGACATAAGGCAATCACTGTTAAGACTGACATTTAATCCTGGCTGCTTTATGTTCCTTATCTCAAACAGACCTGTAATATCCAAGTGTATTCTTAAATCCCTTTCTAGTCCATAATTATTCTTTTGGTTGCAGTGTGTAATATCAGACTAAGACCATCTCCAGTCCTCTGAGTCATGTTTTAAACAGGGACTGTAACCTCTCTTCTCAGTACATTTGATGCCTATGCATATGAGGGAAAATTCAAGTTGCACATTTCAGTGTGTCTCTTGAAGCAGCTGTGAATTTTCTATGGTGAATTTTTGTTCTCTGCCAGTGTGTGACCTAAAACTGTATTGGAAATCCAAGCCAGAACTGCATAAATTCAGTGCAGGCTGAAGTGGGAGCACATGGTGAAAATGTTGAAGTGTGAATTTGCATGTCGGATGGAAGATACATCCTTTACATGTACTAATAAATCCCTTCTCATGTACAGATATGCTTTTACCTGTTTTCCTCCCCAGCTCAGTAACATATGAGGTTAAGGATATCGTACAGACAAGGATGTTAAAAAGAATTTTCCTTCTGTACCATGCGCTTCTGGGTTTGTCAGATGTGCCAGACATGTGACAGTAAATTTGACTTCTAAAAATAAACCCCTAAATCATTACTCCTTTCTAAATGTTACAGGAACTTCATTTTCCCCACCTATTTTTTTAGTTCATGGTTGATATACATCATATGGAATATAAAAGAAAAAAAGATGTTATCAAATTTTACCTTTTGCTGAATCTTCTTCCCTTCCCTGGAGGTTACAACAACATCACTCTGCTTTTTTTCCTTCCTTTTGTCCAGTTCTTTCCTTTCTGACACCTACTTGTCACTGAGTATTTTCAGTGGAATCTTTTGGGACTTGATTATTTTATCCTGAATATTAACATTACTGGGAGGCCATTTTTTTATAGACTAAATCAGAGTTGTGTTTTTCCCACGTAGCACTTCATACTTACCTCATAGTCTGTGTTTAGGAATAGATTTACATACACCTTAAATCTAGGCAAAAAGCTGAATCCTGTGAAAAAGAAGAAAATAAAATGATGAAATCAGCCCACAGCCATAAATCTTTTGCTTTTTAGACTGATTGTGTGATGTAAGACTTCTTAAAATGTTTTGAAAGACAAGATAATTAAACACATGGAAGTAAAGGATGTAACATAATTTGTCATTTGTATTGAACACATTAATTAAGCAATTTATTAGAACTTGTTATGCTGTGGGCTGGTAGTGTTTGTCCTTCACATTACATTTCACAACAGAGAAGTAGCTATTGAGGACCTTGAATTATGGCCATGAGAGGATGCTCCTTGGCAGTAAGTACCATTAAAATGGTTGTTGGGAATCCAGCAAAATAGCACAGAGAATTACAGGGGAAAGAGAATGGTTGTTTACACAGTTGTTTATAGGAGATACAGCAGTAACTGGTAGATCCTGTAAACAGGTCTTTTTGTTAATATTACCGGTTCTTAGGATTTGGAATATTTCTCTTACTCTTAGATATATTGTTGTGAACTCTTTACTATATTTGAAGAGACACTCTTAGCACATCCGTGGTACATTTTGGTTCTATTAGCTAGTTGCACCCTAGTTTGTATTTTACTCTTATTAGACCTACCCTTTAATAATTCCACATTTTCCCATTTTCTGTCCCTGAAGGCCTAAAGAATTAATGGGATCATCTCATTATTTGTCTTTTCTGATCCTAAGGCTGCCATAAGCCACCATTCTTATGCATAAAAATTGCAAAGGGGCATCTTGGAAGAGGTTATTTCAGTGAAGGAAAGACATACTAGGGTTCCCATAATCCTTGGTAGTACTGAATACACTTGTATGCGCAAAATACCCCAAACAACCCAAACTGGAGCATCTGTGGAGAAGAGGAATTAAAGTATTCTAGGGAATGATATGAGTCTGTTAGGATAGGATGGTAGACAAATCAGCCTGTAAGAAATAAAGACAGAGTGTGCTGAGTGTTTTGTGCTCCCTACCTCACTGGGGAAGAGAAATGAAAAAAATATTTAATCTAAAGTGAGGGTCTGGGAGTAGAAAGATGAATACCTGTTTGTGTGCTGTAGCTCAGCAGCAGAAGGGGAAAGTGCTAAGATTGAACACTTGCCTCGTGCTGATGGTGCTGGTTTGTGCTGCAGTGCTGGGGGAAGGCTGAGCTGGATTAATCCATGACATCAGAAAAATAGGAAAGTGGCAAAAAAAGGAAACAGGTCATTCATGAGTAGGTTCACATGGGGAATACTTAATTTTTATGCCCCTGTAATTTAACAGTTTATCTTGTTTTTATTACTTCCACCAGCTTCATCTTGTACAGAGGGTT